ACTTGCATGTCTTGCAATAAAGAAGTTGCAACATGTTCTCCTTTTCCAGCTCAGCCCATTGAAACACATCAGACCCCCACAACCCCACACATAAACACAGTAGCATAGGAAGGACCAATGCTTGAAGTTGGAGTCAGCCCAGCTTGAAATTTGATGCAGCAATTCCAGTTGTTCTGATGCTGATTTGCTCAAAAGGGTAATGAGACTTTGTACTTTGACTCCTTCCCCCATTGCTTTTTATTGTGATCCATGTCTAGTGGTGGTGAGTGCCACAAAGTTTGTGTTTTATCAGGGAATCCCAGGGAAAAAATATTTTAATTTAATTTCACTTCTTCCATTCTTACTTCAAAGGAGTAAGATAAGATTTTGATAAGTAGGAAGACAGCTTCTCTGAGAGGGTGAGGTTTTTATTACATATAGGTCATGCAAAACAGGTCCTTATTTTTAATTTAATAAACTGTGGTGCATCTCTTATGTTCTTTGATAGATGGGACTAAAATGAGACTCTTTTCTAATGAGCAAATCAGTGTTAATTTTTTCACAGCTTCTTTGCCAATTTGTGTTGTTAATCACTTTTTTAAATTCCTTTGGCTTATATATTTAAAAAAAGCTCAGCTAAACAATTTAAAATGCTAGTACATTGAGTACTTGTGTTTTGTTTTTTAAATGAAGTATTGCTTTACCAGAGCTGGAGAAATACTGTACTGTGGTAGGTATAGTATATATAGATGGTGTATGCTATCAGAGATTGATGTTTATTTGCATCCTGCAAGGTGCTGATTTCCTGGCTGATATGTTGCTACAGCTGCACATGTAAAGTCCAGCTGCTGCAAAACTAATGTTGAGCCACATGAAAAATTAACTTAAAATACAGGTAAATTGTGTAATAAAGGTAAAAGTTAAGCATTCTAATATTTGCCTGCCAGTGGTTACTGATATTTCTTTGCATTAATTTGTATATGTTTCTTTTCTGCCTGTCTTTTACTGCTTGTAAGGAACACTGAGGAACACGACCCTTTTTGCTGAGCTGTCTGAAGCCCAGAGAAACCTTTACCTTCAGGAGGTATTTGCTGGTGCTGCTGTAACAGCTGACTTGCTCCAGCCAGAATACTTGGGTTTGGTTTCTTTGGTTTCTTTGTGCTGCAGCATTTTCTGCAACAGGAGTTTTGTTGAAAAGAATAAACCAGCCGATCTCTCAGTCCAAACAGTGGTTCTGTGTAGGGGAAAGTTGTAGTGGAGTCCAGGCTGGAAGGGATATACTGTAGCACTGCAGAACCTGAGATATTGGCCCTGATGGCTACAGGGTTAAAATCGGGGTGAGGACAGAACAAAAGAGTAACAGTGATGCCCTGAGTAAGCCACTGTTCTAAAAACTAAAGTAACAAAAAGAACTGTTCAGCCTCCCTGCTCAGCTTGTCCTCACATTCCTGCAGGAATTGCGTCAGGCTGGTTTTGTTAAGGTTCATGGTAGGAAACCATCGGTACTGGAGCTGGAAAAGGAGCCTTTGGAAGTGTCCTGTACGTTCAGGATGTTTAGTATTGTAGTGTTGTGAGCTCTTTGCAACATTTCACAATGTCTCTCTAAAATTAATGCATTGCAGCTTAATTACGGGTCAGCTCTGCCCAGGTGGGTTGGAATAAGAAGGAACATGTCTCTAGGGAGTGGAGTGGGAGAAATGGTGACAGAAGAGCTTTTGGAGCGTGAGATGGACGTGACTTTTTGGCTTAAGCCCAAAGAGGCCTTGGTGAGGCCAGTCCCCCTGGCCTCTGACACTTGGCTGTGTGGCACTGAGCAGTGGCATGGCCTGGATTTCCTTAGCTCTGCCCAGCAGTGCAGGGTAAATACAGCAACGTGCAGCTCCCGTGGTTTTCCATGGAAGTCCTTGTGTGGCACTAGTGACACTGACTTTTGGTATGCAGATTTCTCTGCCCAGTGTATTCTTTGTCAGAGTTTTATTGGAAGCTGTAGAAGAAAATACCCTCAGTAAAGTGAGGAGTGAGGATGCATCCCTGGCCTATAGTCAGCAGGATCTGGAAAGGATTTTGAAGAATAATAAGCCCTCAGCAACTTTCACCCCATGCTGCAAGGGAAGTGCAAGCAGTTACAGTCCTAAGTAATACACAAACTGCAACTTAGACCTCATCCTTGCAGTCTGCAAGTTTGTGATTCCTGCAGCAAATGCTCCTGTGTCACTCTGATCTATGTTTACTGACTTGCTAGTTGGGCACCAGTGTGTCACACCTTTGTGTGACAACTGCACTTGAGCAGTTAAAAATAATTATCCTGTTAGCATTTGCACTCTAAGAATTAATCTGGGTGTGTGTTTTCTGAAAGCTTCTGAAACTTAGCTTCAGATGGACGTCCAGATGTTTCTGGGCTTCTTCTCCACTCCATGTTGCATTTTAAAACTGCAAGCTGTGTGATCCTTTGCAATCAAAGTCACAAATGACTCCTCTTTATTAGACTCGAGTAACTTTTCAAACTTTTGTATCCCATTGTGTGGCTGTATGAAAGAATTAAAGGAAATTTTCAGTCCAGAATTACTGCTGAAATGCTATAGTTTTGGAGGGGTTTACATGCTGTAATTGAAATGTAGCTGTAACCAGCTCGTGGCCATGCAAGTACACTTGGCAGGAAGTGGTAGCACATGTCGCCAGCCTTGCTCTACAAATGTGTGCAGCTCACCACTTCCTGACACTGAACTGAAAGCACAAAAGAAACATCAGTTTCTGGTTCATTTTAACCTCTAAAAGGTTGCATTTGTTAAACATGGTAGTGTCATAACAGAGGTACTTGTGGCCTCTCCCTTTAGATTCTTCTTTTAGCTTTGGAGTTCACCTTTAAGAATTCTGGTGAAGTTCATACTAGAAATCCTATGATCGGAGAAGATACTTTTTGTGGAGATCCTGAGTTTTAGAAGTGGTGAAAGGAATGGTTGTATAAATCATTTTGGCAGTGCAAGGGAAATGAGTAACCACAAGAAACCAGTCTGTGCAAGACATGGACTGGTGCTCATGGGGAGCTCACACTGCACTTGGGAGTCTCCTCGGAAAACCATCCCTCCAGGAGTCTGTCACTGCTTGTGCTGCTGTGTCTGAGCTTCAGGAGTTCACAGCACAGGCAGAATTATCTCTAAACCACAGTAGTCTCTGAACCTGGTTTTCCTGATTGTTGTTACACTGAAGCTTCAGGCCAAGACACAAACGAGCTTTTAAAACTGATTTAATTTGCTGTTGCCACGGAACAATACCCTTTGCAGAGAAATCCGTGTTTGTGCTTTATAACTTTTGAGGGCAAAACAAAATCTATTCAGAGCAAAGGTTATTTGTTTTCAGACCTGAATACAATTACCTGTGGCTTCAGCAGCTGTGATTGCACCTAGTTAGGAGAAAAATCTTTACGAGAGAGGGAAAATCCTGACCATTGTTAAATAAAAAAACTTGCCAAACTTCTATTACATATAATAGGGATTTTGAGAAAATACACGTAATTCTCATGTCGTTTTTAGAAAAGTGGGAATTAGTGGAAGATCTTTTTGCCTGTAAATCTACTAGTGAATCTTGGGAAATTGCAATTGGAGCAGTAGCCATAGCATTTTAAATTAATGCAATTAATTTCATGTGCTGTTAAAGTGCTGATGTGATATTTCTTCTCATAATTTGTATTCTAACTAATGAGCTGAACTGTGTATCCAGAGCACATTAAGATTAAGTGGCTGAAACGTGGTATTTTCAGTATATTAAAACAGTAATATTGCATGTGAGAAGAAGGGAAGTCAAATAGTTAATGAATGTCCATATTTCATATTCAGATTCTACTGTGGTATATTAAAAAATCCCATAGCTTCCTGTTTAAGTGATGGATGACTTCTTGAAGCTAGAAACAGCATTTTTTTCCATTAAGGTACTCTTGATAATTGTCAGTTAATTTGCATCTTAAGAAAGAAGAAATTAAATAAACAAAATAACTCAGCCCCACCCCTATCTTTTATGAACTAAATATCAAGTAACTATTTAAGATTCAGTGAAGAGAAAACAGGCCATTAGTTTCAAACCAGATTATTTTGGTGGGTATGCGGGGTTGGCTGCCCAAAAATCTGTCAGTCACATAGTGCAACTTGAATAATCTCAATTTGACCTATGTTATGGTATAGGTTTAGAGATGCCAAAGTTAAAGTAGTTAATAAAGGCTAGTCTGGTTGGAAATCTTATGTTTGACTCATAGATCCATTTCATTCCTCTAAACTTTTAAAAGACATTATTAAGCCCCTCTAAATTAATTTTTTTTTTTTTTTTGCCCTTGGTTTAAAATCTGTCTTGAAAATTAATCTGAGAACTGATGGGTACCTTGGTACCATGTGGAAGTGTAAGGGGAAAAGGAGAGAATTTGATGCCTTTGATTGATACCTTTCAGAGCTTCCTAGAAAATCTAAGTTCTTGAAAAAGTCCCATTCATGATGTACTTGAGCCACCTTCAGTACCTATCTGTAAGCCTTGTCTGCTGTGTTGTTTTACCATTTACTGTGATGTCTGATTAGACTGCATTAAACATCAGTTTTCAGAAGTAGATGCTGGCTTTGAGAAGGAACTCAGGGGTCACCTGAGGGGTCACGTGGATTTTTAGCTCAGAGGTACCAGGGAAGTGACAGGGAATTGAATGCAGGGGCTGCTCAAAAGTTCAGGAAAAATATGTGTTCAAACTGGTGACCTTATTGGTGTGAAGTGGAAGGATTTGGAGATCAAATCTTCTCTAATAATCTCGGCCAGCTGGTAGCGAGGGTGAGTTTAGTCTGTTTTTGTTGTGCAGAATAATTTATCCTTGCTGTGTTGGGTGCAGCTGAAAAGCTCTGTGTGCTCTGAGCACTCCCCAGGGTGTGGAAGGGGGGACAACTTCAGAATAACTCTTTTGACCGAGTGTGCTCTGACCAAATTGCCAAAAGGAAACCGAACACTTCCTTGGCATTAACTGCAGAACTGAAGAGTATCTCTTTCTCTGGCAGGAATCGACTTTAAGATCAGAACAATAGAATTAGATGGAAAGAAAATCAAGCTGCAAATATGGTAAGTATTCCAAAGGAATTTAAGTTTGCAGTGAATATTGTATTCATTTAGAGAAGAATACTTCAGAGCTTTTGAGCTTCAGAGTCCCAGAAGTTTCATACCTTTAATTCATTGACTGTCCCTGAGGTTTATGCTTTCCTCTGGCTTGCTCTTGGGGTGGTTCTGCTTCAGGAGCACAGGAAATGGCCTGTTCACATGCAAGCATTTCAGCAACTTCCCATTTTGTCCAAAGCTGTCCTCTGAAATGTGCTTTTAGCTGTTCCCTGTGGAGGAGAAATATTAACTCCACAGCTGTAAATTAAAATATGCAGCCTAATAAAATGTAATCTCTGATACTTTGATACCTGGTTGTACTCAACAAGGCACAGGGGAGTGATAATGCTCCCACTCCCTGCCTGGGGGGTGAGTAGAGACTGAGTGTCCTGGCAGCAGCAGGTGAGTATTTCTGGAGTAGCATTGTTACTCTGTTTAAAAAGACACCTCTGAGTCCAGATGAGTGTAAACCAAATACCTTTTCCCCCTGAACTGCAGGGATACAGCAGGCCAGGAGAGATTCCGCACCATCACCACGGCGTACTACAGAGGAGCCATGGTGAGTGTCCCACTCAGAGTCACCAAACACAACTGGTGGAACTGGTTTGCTCTTCTTAGGGTTGTATCCTGTAAGTCTGCAACTGCAGGACTGGATAATTGTGGCTTGAGATGTGGGGAGTGAAGTTTGTGGTTTGGTTGGGGTTTTTTTTGTTTGTTTTTCCTTTCTTAAACCTGCTGGTACTTTGTCTAGGCCTGTTTTTGTGATGAAACTTCAAGCCCTATTGTCTTTTTTCATACAATTAACATTTCAGCAGATTATAATAAAGTTGCCAAGCTTTAATCAGACAGGTTTGGTGTTGGTTTTTTTTTAATGCAGTCAACCCCTTTAAACATTTGAAGTGTGTGAAAAATGGGTAATGAATTATTTTAATATTAAAAGTGTGTTTCACTGAATTGCTTTTCCTTAAGCCAGTAAAGTATGCAAAATCTGGGCTAGAAATACAATCACCTGCAACAGCTACTGTTATTTTTTCTCCATTGGGAATGACTTGAAGCCAAATAACTGGCTCCAGCCTTGCACCCTGTGTGCTACAAGTGCTTGTAATGGCTCTTAATGCTGTGATTTGAGATATTTTATGTTGGAGCACTGTTAAAACTTGCTGATTACAAGCTGTGCTGCTGTTACATGTTCTTACTGCTTTGTATGAACAGTGGCAAAAGATGTTAAATAGTAATATTTGGGGTAAATTCCTGGCCATGGCATAATGCCTTAAGAAAGGATTATAGGTGAATTAAGTCTTATGTTTAATTTCTTTGCAAATATAATTAAACTTACAACATAGATCAAAACCCAGCCAATAGTGCTAGCTCATCTAACTAGATTTTCCTAATTTTATTTAGGGAATTATGCTGGTGTATGACATCACAAATGAAAAGTCTTTTGACAACATAAAAAACTGGATAAGAAATATAGAGGAGGTAAGTGCTTCGTTCCATCTTAGGATTTCCCTGGGACAAATAATAAGTAATTATTCACTCTCATTATAGTAGCCAACATTTATGGCCAATTTACTGGGCAGTGAATGCAGCAGTGGTTGCTAATGGGGCAAATATTATTTTGTTCATTAAAGGATAGAAGGTAGAAAACTGAAGTTTAAAAAGCAAGCACAGGGTGTTTCAAAACTGCTCTTACTGTATGACTTTTATTGTTCTTTTTATACTTTGGGTGTGTCTAAGGAATGGAGGAGCAGCATCTTAAGGTGTCCACCTGTCACTTAGATGATGAGAGAGATGTCTGATTTCAGTTCTCACTGTGTTCTGTGTGTCTGATTGGAGAGTTTTGAGTTTTTCCTTTGCTCTGGGGTGAGCTTCCTTCCTGCTGACTTATTGTAAATTCTTTGATGGGACATGCTGCCAGGTAGGGATAGGTCCTTCTGAAGTTAGAGGAGAAATCTTAATTTTAGTGAAGCTGTAATTAGGTAACAGAATCTTACTGTTTGTGTTTCTTAAACATAAAATCCATGGGCTTTTCTTTAGTATTTTCTTTGGCTCTTAAAATTCCTGTATTAGTGAGCAATTTCATCCAAGAGTGACTGGGCTAAAAAAGTTCTCTTGCTGAAGTGATTATTACTTTAAAGGGACTTTTATTAATAATCTATTTTAAAAATACAAATGCATTCCATAATGATACTCCAACCAAATCCCCCAGATGTCCAAGCACCCCTTGGAAGTGAAGTGTGTACAGTTATATTTCCAGAACAGCCAAATGCCTGTGCACGTGTGCAACCTGGTACAGAGCTCATGGCACAGACTTGATCTGTAATGTAATCTAGGAGTATTTATTCCAACCTACTTTAATATTTTAATTGCTTGCTTCAAAATCAGTCTCCCTCAGTAATGCCTTGACATTAGATAATTTCGTTAAAATAAAACAGTCGTGGAGGAGTTTGACGCAGAAGTTTCTTTTAAACCATGGTGCACTTTGTTTCTGAGAGGTTCCTTTTCCTTCTCTCAGCATGCCTCTTCAGATGTAGAAAGAATGATCCTGGGTAACAAATGTGATATGAATGAGAAAAGACAAGTCTCAAAAGAAAAAGGGGAGAAGGTAAGATTTGATGACTTACCCCATTCAGAAACCTACTTCTCTTAGGATTTTAGCTCCTGGATGTTTGGTGTGTTTTAAGCATATGAGACATAATAGGTCTCAAATCTGTCGTTTCAGAAGCTTACAGGATGACAGGTTTGGGGGGTTTATCTTGAAATAGCACTTGATTGTCTTCAGGTTTAAATAAACTTCATGGTACTGTTGTCTTGAGGGCAAGATCCTGCTAAGAATGTTGGCCTTTGCTATGGTGTGAAGTATTTTAGTTCTCAACATAAATTTTGTGTGTAGTTTGATCATGTTCTACTCAATTCACCATGGGGGCGAATTACTCTTGTCATGAGTGCTGTTATTAAAGCTTAAGTAATTAGTTGTTCTGCAGAACAAACAGGTGAGGAAGAATCCTGTGAAATCTCTCACGTGTGCAGCTGAAGTTGTGTAGATATGATTGTATGATTATCTGGCCCATAAATCCATATCAATAAAGGTTCTGCCTTAATGTTCTTTTAGAGCCTAAGTAATTCTTTTTGTGAGAAATCAATCTGGTTTTCGTTTGTTAGTTGGTTTTGACTTTATATGATGGTGTGTGGCCTGTTCTAATACTTTGTCTAATTGTTCAGTAACTTTAATCTTATTGCAAGAGAAAAGCAGTGCTTGGTTTTGTTTTTAAAGCTTGCTGCAGCATCTATTCTGTTAGGAATCTATGTGAAACATTCCTTTTACAAAGGAACCTCAAAACCACTGAAACACTTTAACCTCTCTTCCAGTTAGCAATTGATTATGGCATCAAATTTTTGGAGACAAGTGCAAAATCCAGCATAAACGTGGAAGAGGTAAGAGATGGGTGTTCTGCTCAGGTGTTTTTTGAATTCCTGCTGGGGGGGGTCTGTTTGATCATCTGCTGGGCTTTCTGACCTCATCTGGGACCTGAAGTCCCAGCTGTGCTCCTGGGTCACCAAGCTTCTTATATTTAGAGAGCCTCTGTTAGAATCCAGCTGTTCCTTATGTTCTGGTAATGTCTGGGATTGTTTTTTAAATGGGTGGTAACACAGTGGTTTACTATTACTGTAGCAAACAGTTGCTTTAGATGTCTGCCTTGCTACTTAAATTTCAAGTCCTTTTGGACAGGGAATAGGTGTAATTTTAGAGCACTGCTTTGTGCAGGAAATTGGATTCAGGATTCTTTACTTTCAGGATAAAGAGCCTTTAGGTTACTACTAAGTACGTGCTGTGCAGATGAGACTGAAAATTTGTGTGTTAACCTGGGACACCAGGTCATAAGCTGATGTTAGAGGAGGAAGAAGACTTACAATACTATCTAGAGATTTGTAATTTGTTTCCTGCGAATAAATTCTGTGCTAAAAACAGACGATCCCTATTTATAAGAGCATAAGGAAATGGAATTGGAAGGAAGAGTTGGCTCAAGTCCAGTCTGTCTTACTTGTGTCATCTTGGGGAGGGAGGGGGAGGATCTTAACTGTATGAAGTGTGGACAAAAAATAGTTATGTCTGAAGGCAGTTACATTAAGATTTATTCATCCAGTAAGGTAGACTTGTTCTTAAGTGTTGTTTCTGTACCTAATCATTTCAAACCTTTCTATGGGATACCCTTTGAAAGTCCTCCAAACATGTACTTAACTCTGATCATGCAGCTGACAAATTGACTACAAACTGAAGCCATTGTTACTTTAAAGCAACAGGAGGGCTGTCATGCCAGCCAAGCGTGTTTTTTGTGATTGCAGGATGGTTGTTGTCATCCAGGATAGTTAGAAGGGACAGATTTGCATCCTGCTGCATCTGGAGCAGTGTTTGACCCCGTTTCAGTGTCCTTGCGGTTCCCACAGCAGGCACTGGAAGTGTGACCATGAGCAGCAATACCAGTGGTGGTGGATAGTTTAGTCTCCTGATCAAAAGTACCCATCTTCTGCTTGAGTTCCTCTGGAGGGTCCACTTGGCCTTTCATGACACACCTGCAGGTTCATTTGAGCTCCTGCAGGTCAATAAATGCACGGCAGTGGTTTGTGTTTACTCCAAATGATTTGGCTGCCTGAATATTTTTTTAAATTGTCGCATGAATAGTGGAGAAAGCATTAAAAAATGCAGCTGGTGTAGGCATTTGGCAATCGCTAATTATTTAGTCTACTTTCCACCAAATGCTTCATTTGTGGGAAATTACACAATCTTGACGTTCTTGAGGTCAGAAATGAATTTATTTATTTATTGTGAGTGATTTGCATTAAATGAGTTTCTGTCTTTGGATATGTTCTGAACACAATGAGAGGGGAAGTGATTACACTCTTTACATTCTCGAACTGCCCTTGGACTGTGAAAGTCTCCAGATACCTTTATGTCTTGCTTTTCCCTGCTTCTGGAGAACCACAGAATTATTCTGCTACAGAAGTTATTTTGCTCCTTCATAGTTTGAAATCTGGGATGCTGAGATTTGCCAGAGTCATTATTTATGGGGTTTTTTTTGTTGTTGTTTTGGGGTTTTTTTAAATAGCAGTGTATTGGAAGCTTAAATAACCTTAGAGATAGCCCAGGAGCAAAGGTTTTGGAGGACAAACACAAGCTGACCTTACTGAGAATTCCCAGACATCCATCCTCAAACCTCTCTGCGTTTCTAGTTGTGATGCACAGTTAAGCTGGAGGGGGAATAAAAAGAGCATTAGTATGTGCAGCCTTCCAGAGGTATGCAAAGGGAAAGTCTGTTCAATTGCTTCAAAGACTGGCAGAATTGAGTCTAATAATAGAAAGTTTTTTCTTCTCAAGCATGTTTATTGAGGTTTTAAGTTTACAGATATTGTACAGAGAGTGTCTTGCAGCTCAAAGTGCCATTAGTGGCCTGCAGAACACTGTACTGTTCATGTGTCTGGCTGTTCCAAATCTATCATGTCCTTAGTGTATCTTGGGACTAACTCTTGTTTGTTTTTTCTTTGTTTCCACTCCTCACCAGGCGTTTTTCACACTTGCACGGGACATTATGACAAAGCTCAACAGAAAAATGGTTTGTATTTCCAATTAGCATACAAACTACATCCAGTGAGAGCACAGCTCTAGTAGTTGGCTGAGTAGCAGCCCTGCCAAAATCTCCTGGGGATTACAGTAGTTGCTGGATCAAATCTGAGCAAACAGTGATTTCTCACACTTTATTACACATCAGTGCAGAGCTGGTCCTTGTTTTGCATGAGCATTAACGTTGGGCAGCCTGGAACTGATGTGTTCTTCTGAAATGGAGTAGTGGGATCCTTGCTTTATTACATAATCTCTTCTGCAGCTAATGCTTGAGCTCTGGATTGTTAGGGAAATGTTATTTTTACAATTGACAGTTTTATCCAGTAACAGAGTCTGGGTGACTGAGGAGCTCAAGTTGCAACAACCCTCTGCTCTGGTTATTGCCTTGCAAGGGGGGGAAGTGGGGAGGGAAACATAGGAAAGCTGGACATATCGTTTTCTGCATTTTATGACATTGGTGTTCTTTTCTCTTTCAGAATGACAACAGTTCATCGGGGGCAGGTGGGCCAGTAAAAATAACAGAAAATCGATCTAAGAAGAGCAGCTTCTTTCGATGCACGCTACTTTGATGAACTTCTAACGATAGACTGCAGCACACTTAGAACCTTTTCTGCTTCTTTGAAAGCACAGGGTCACAAAGCCTCAGAAATAATACCACCAAGCTGCTGCTGAGAGCTCCATTGAACGTAGACTGCGATACACAAAATACCAAGTGGATTTTGCTCACTAAGCCTATTGACCTGTCAGGCTTTCTTTCTCAGATATGGAAGCTATGAAGTGGAGACACAAATGCAAGAGTTAACCTGTTTTCCTTTTTTACTTTCTGTTTTATTGCCTGTTGCAAAAGCTGCTATGTTTCTTTTAACTTTGCACATCCATATTGGCCTCTTACTACCTGTTACAGCACAATCTTACATTTGTATTTGCACAGTTTGACTTGTAAGTAAATTCTTAACAGATTTGTGCAGGGTTTTCTTTCTGTTTTTAAACAAATTTATTTTCAAGCAGAAGAGCCAGGGGAAAATTGTCTCACTTCCATTATTTCTATGCTGTATACTTGTGGCCATGCAGTATGGATGTTGTCGCTCTAGTGATGAGAATTACTGTAACAATTGGCATTTAGCAATTTCTATGGATTTTGTTCTCTTAGATGCACAAATCTGTTCATGCAGAAGCTGGGGCTTCTATTCTGAATGTAGTATGTTGCTTTTCTCTCTTTACCAGACTTAGCAAAGTTGTGTTCTGAATTGCCAGTCACTGTCTGATTCACAGATGCACCTTTCAGTTATTTGAATAAACACAGTGTCTTTCCTCACTTCCGTTTGTTAGCTCAAACTGCACCTTTTTGTGTTTCTGATGAGGAATTACACTCTGGAGGTAAAATCATCGTCACAAATTGGCCTCATCACTATCACTTAAGTGGCTTGTGGAAGCTGAATGCATGAGTCTTGAGTAACCTCTTGGATTCACTTATTCAGAAATGACTGCTTCTAAAGGTGACTTCCATTTCTACTGTAACTCTAAATAGTTAGTTAGTATCTGTAATGACCGACCCTTGGCAACAGAGGTGTCCAAAACCAGCTTCCTGGGCGGTGTCTAAAGGGTACCCAGCTTTGGCCCCGGGGAAGCCTTGGCATTAGGGCTATAACGTACTCCTGGTTCTGCAGTAAATGCTGAATGTGTGTCTGGTCTGCTCAAGCAGTTATTTTTTTATCACTGGTACAGTGACCTAGACTGTTAGAAGCAGAGGTGAAACATAGTTGCCTTTTTTACTCAACTGAGCATTGTATAACTTAGTCTTTGTTCTACTACTTTTTTATTGTCTTCTGGAAAAATTTCCTCGATGAGCAATTAAAACAGGTGCTTTAGTTCTGTTGGTGTGCCAAACGTGGACCATTGTAAGCTTTAAGTACAAGTTTGTGTCCAGCCTGGTTGCTGTTGGGGGATAGGTGTGTTCTGTCAGCGTCTGCTTTTGCTTCACTTCTTGACTGGAGTTGTAAACAGTGAGTTGGTCATTCCCACAGATAACCACTTCATTTTGTTGTGTCAGATACTGGATTCGTCATCTCTGGGTCTGTCCTGAATATTTTGGAAGTGAACAGGCCAGTAGTATTAGATTTAAAGCTTTTGATTTTTAAAAGGTTTAACGTTAGTAGCTGGTTCCATGAAGTTCTAAGTGGTTATTGACCTGTCCCCATGTGTAGTTTGCTAGAAGTAGTTATTGGAGCTAGATGGTGGATCTCATAAACTGCTGTTGCTGCACTAGAACAGAGAAACCTTCATGGCAACGAGGTTTAGTGGAAAAGCAAAGCAACCCTAACTGCTCTGTTGTCTACCCTTGATGTTTTTCTTGGACAGGCTAAAGCAGTTATGTTTTCTGTATGGTTAAAAAAGTGCTTCTATACAGAAAGTGTTGTGACACCAATTATGAATGTTGTTTATTTTCAGTAATTTACCTCTGACTTATTTGGTGTCGTAATACTTTGATTTTTATCTCAGGGGTTGTCTGCAAACCAAAACTGACATGTTCTGTGTTTGGCACTGTTTACAGAATGCTTTGTATTGTTTTTTCCTGTCTTCGCTGTGTGGTTAAATGTCCATTCAATTATTAGTCTCCATGAACTTCCCTTTGAAAGAGCCTGTAAGTAGTAGAGTCTATGAAGTGCTTCTTGAAGCAGCAGCGAATTGGGGTATCTGCTCTGTATGGGGGAGGGTGGGAGGGAGAAAAAAAACTTGCTATTTTCTTACATTTAGCTGTGCTAAACTGTACATAAATGTGAGGTAAGACCATAGGAAATTCACTTTATGCATGAGAAAGTACTGCAGTAAATATTTCACTTTGCTTATTGTTCATGTACAGTTCATCTTTTTCTATTTGTAGAAGAATTTAATGCAATTTTGTTGTCATCTGCTGAAACTGAAGAATTCTAATTTCATGTGGTCTTATGGATAAGGTAAAACGCAGCTTGCTTTCTTTGTGTTTTTGCCCCCACCCCACTTCTCCAGCAGTATTAAATGGCTGAGTGGCTGCACTTTATCAGTGTGCTAACTTGGGGTCAGTGTAGACCTTCCTGTGTCCAGTCTGCCCTGCCAGACGTGGACAAATGTGCTGTCCCTTGGCGTGGGGGCAGCTCTGTTGGACTGGGATATTTTAGCTGTGTTTGCCTTTGGAAAGCGGGTGCTGATGATGGGATGTTCTGCCTGTGCATCAGATGCTGGGTATTACAGGCTTTTCTGATATCACCATGATTGTTCTGTGCGGTCTCTGTTGCTACTTTGCTCGAGACTATATAATCTTAAGTTTTGAAGGACTCTTAACTATACCTCAGTCAACTAGTCAGTACTCTAATGCCCATTAGAATGAAAGTCATATAATAATTACTTATTAAGCAGCAAATGTATTTCTGTTTTGTTCCAGAAATTGCCATTAACCTTTCAGGAAAGCAGACATTCGTTGATGGATTTCAATAAAACAAAAATGCTGCTTGTGCTTTGGAGTTTTAGGAAATCTTTCCCTCAGCCCCATGTCTGTGCGCTATATCTTGACCAACATTTTTCTAAATGGTTTTAAAAAAAAGCCAAATGCAAAACAAACTGGTCTCAGTGCTTTGCAATTTTAGCTTTCAGTCTGTGCTCGGCAAAACATGCACAAGAGGTTTTTGTTGAGTGTATATAGAATATTTTATGTACTTATTGTCTGGGAGTTCTATTATTGCTAAAGCTTAAACCACTCATGAAACTTAATGCAGCTCACTTTTCTGTTTGGGGGACAGTCTTAAAAGTGCTGAGTGACCTTTCAGACCTGTAGTTCTTTTTCCAGAAAGTATTTCCCATTGTAAAAGTACCTTTCCCATACTCGTCTGCTGAAGTCAAGTGAATTTCGTGGATCATTCTCACAAGTGGATAAAGGAGTCTTGAATGTACATATCACATTAAACTATTGTGAATGCATAACGATTTGAAAGTACATGAATAATATGTAAAATGCCTAAATGTGTTATTTGTGAAAATGCATCTGTTATTTGGTTATCTGTTAATGTAATGGAATTTTTGCAATGTTAAACTTGTTAAGGATTGGTCTGTAGGTGATAATAGGTCTTTTTTCTCCTCCATTCACTGACCTGCTTATACCATTCTCATTCTTATAAATAAAAAACGTATTTCTTTCTTCCAAAAAAGCAGGATTTACACTGATTTTTCTTGTTCCTGGTGAATTTAACTATTTTAGTGCATTCCTATGGCCTTACGGACATTTTTGCAAATAAAACTTCAATTACTGTTATTTTAATGCTATATAGCCACTAAATTGAGAATAAAAAGTATAGTCCTTGAGAAAATGCTTAATTTTGAAATAGAAGTGTTCTACTGTGTGTTTTTAAGCACATTTTACCTCTGATATAAAGGTGTAATGTGAAAAGCTCCTGCAGATAAAAGTGAATTTGTCATGTGGTTAACTTGTAAACCTAACCATTAATTGTGTATTGATGTATATAGACAAAAAACCCCAAACCCATCCCCTAAAAAAACCTTCATAGTCCAATAGTTTTATTATTTCATGTGAACTTTTTTACAACGTGTGTCTCAAATAAAAGTTACGTAATGAAAAGCACTTGGAGTATTTTGTATGAAATATTCCACGTAGTTTTTGTACAGTTGGCATCTCCACTCCACTTTTGATACCTTTGTTGTGGAAAGGTGTCCAGCTGAGCTGCATCTGTAAAGCTTGGCTCAACTAGTAATAAACCACAAGGGGTTTTATATGGCTTTGCTTGTTCCTAAACTTGACTGTTCTTTAGAGTTGTCCTGAAAAATCCTTTATTCCTGTAGTGATTGCTTAAATCCATTATTTTGATGACCTTCAGTTTCATAAGAAACCATTTTTCCAGACATTTAGTGTCATGAAATACCCTTTCAAAGTCACTTCTGAGCAGAGACCACAAAGGTAACATGAGACACAATCTCCAGTTCGATTAAGAATTATCTACTGAACTGAGCTGTTAAAATTTTCCTTTTTGATGTTGCTTTAAATCTGCACTGTGTGAAGGGTATGACTGTGAAGTACCCTGAGGCACAAGTATCATGAATCAGTACAGCAAATATTGTTTGTCCATCTTCCCTCAACACTGAATAGTGAGGGATTTGACAAATATTTGTTAGCTGTTAGTAAAATTACTGTGGTTTGGCAGTAGCTACAATTGGTACAAAAATCAGCCAACCTAAGGAAGGAATGGTTTTGTCTGCCCAAGACAAAAGCAGAGTAGTATCTGAGACATCCGAGTGGGCACCCTGAGCAATGAGAGGAAAACACATGGATGACAAGGAGTTTCTAAAATGTGTTCTTCCTACACGTTCCTTTAATAAGCTGTATTTAGCTAAAAGGATGTGTTTGCTTTTTACCCTAAGCAACAGAAAGCTGGAGTTACATTCTCGTTACACCTTACTATTTCTTGGGTTTGGTTGGGTTGGTTGTTGTTTTTGAGACTGCTTCAGGCAGACAAGTTTGCTGCGTTAGGACCAGTTGTTTAAACGTTGTCTTGCTTGATCTGAACTGGGTTGAGATGCTCAGCAGTCCTTAGGTTCTCACAGTCGTTAGTGACATTTTAAGTACATTTGCATTCTGCATTTGTTAAAAGGAAATAGCAGGCATACTTACGCTACATAAAAATGGTGATTTATTACAGTTCCTGGGTCTATTTTTGGTTGCAGACTAGCAATTATGATACAAATACTGCACACTTGTAGATCAGAGGCAAGTTGTTGGTACACATGTTGAATGTATCCAGCTTTAAATGGCCAGCTTCATAAATTACTCTTTTGCCAGCTTGGCTCTTTAGAGTTCTTGAATTATACCAAAGTCATCAATACAAGATTTCAAAATACTTTTTTTTTTTTTTAGAAAGATTCTGATCTTCAGGAGATACAGAAGTACAGCTTTTATCTTGTACAAGGTCATTCTTGCCATCTGGAGGTTTAAATGAAGGGCATGGCATGGAATGCAAAACGTACTGAAAAATTGTAGCACTCTTGGATGTGTTGTTGTTGCTTCAAAAATTTTTTACTATCTTCAGCAGAGCACATCAGCAGTAGGCTGTTGGTGTGAACAAATGTTCCACAAGCTCCTCTGAGCATATATTCAGTACATATTGTTAATTCAATTTGTGAAATAAAGTTGAAAGTTTAGAGCAGGATATGAACATTTTCCCCATCTGAGGAATTAACAGGTTTAATGTATTATGGAAAATGTGTGTAACTTAAACTCTGCTAGTGAATACATTGTACTGCCTTCAAAGTGACCAAGAACTCTGTAAACATTCACTAATTTCACCCTACTTAATCTTAAATACCTTCCTTGAGTAGATGACTGAGATGACTTGCTGCCCTTGTGACTTTTTCTGCTTTTGCCACCACTGCGAAGGCGTGTCCATGACACAGCCCTGACTGGTGTCCCAGGGCCTTGTGTTGGGCACTGGCATCTCAGATGGATGGACTTGTTTCAAAATGGGGTTTAATTTCTCAGGGGCACGTTACCCTCGTGCTCACTGACCTTTCTGCCTTGGTTTAACACCTCTGCAGAGCAGCACCAAGAGGTGATGCTGCTGTGACACACCTTGGCCAGAAGCTGGTGGGATTGAGGGCTGCCGTGCTGGCGCTTCTCAGTTGCATCCTTATTTCCAGACATACTTTCGTATGCAGTGTGCTCGTCTCCAAAGAAAAGTTGAATGTTTCATTTATTTTCATGTTAATCCTTATTATACTTCTTTTTTTCTCTCTCTCCAGGCACCATAGGAACTAACTAGCTCTGCTATGTGTTCTAGATGAAGGACAGAACTTCTCTAGGAAGGCTGAACAAATTCTGTCCCTGTCTAATGCTGCCGAACGCTGCTTCTGAGCTTCCTCACCCAAAACTTTGTAAACCTCACATTTATGCGCTGAACCAATAAAGCACAGGGGGAAAAGGCAACCACGTATGTCTTAAATACTGTTTGTGTGTAGCTTTCCTGAACACCACTGGTAAGTGTACTTGAAATTAGGGACCGCTGGGGCTACTCCGTCTGTCTGAGGGGAGGAACAAACCCTGGAGCCCTTTACCTGCTCTGTGTCCATGCTGAGAGATCAGCAAGATCCCTCAGCCTTCACAGGGGGATCTGCGAGATCCCTCTGCCCTCACAGGAGGATCAGCGAGACCCCTCAGCCCTCATGGGGGGAATCTCATAGTGAGATCCCTCTGCCCTCCTGAGGGGAATCAATGAGATCCCTCCGCCCTCACAGGGGGATCAGCGAGATCCCTCAGCCATCCCGTGGGGATCAGCGAGACTCCTCAGCCCTCCCGCGCCCTCCTCGCATCCCGGCGGCAGCCGCACACCCGGGGCAAGGAAGCCCCGCAGAGGCGGCCGTGGCTGAGGGCGCTCCTGGCCGCGCCTCCCTGAGATGGCGCCCGCAGCTCCCGCCCCGGCCCCTCCTCAGACGCTCCTGCGGGGCCGCCCCGCGGGTCTCCCCCCGGCCCTGGCGAGGGCTGAGGGGGCTGTGGAACATCTGCCCCGGGAGCTCGGCCCGGGCTCCCCTCAGCGATCCTCGATGGCCATGGATGTGCCCAGCGCCGTGTCCCGCGGCCTCGGTCACCCCTGGGGCGGTGCTGGGGGTGCCTGTGCGGGCTGTGCCTGTGCGGGCTGTGCCTGGGGGAAAACACAGGGATCTTCCTGTGGCGGCCGCTGAGGTTCGGGTACTCCCGGGGCGTTCCCGAGGGAGCTCCCAGTGCTGGGTCACAGGGAAGGGCAGGGCCGGCAGCGCTCCCGGGGCTGTGGGGGGAGCTCGGTCGGTGCCCTGCGGGGTGACCGGGATGTCCCACCGGGGTATCCCACAGGTATTCCCAAGAACCTTTAAAAAACCTTAGAAAACACACTTAACCAGAGGTCCTTTTAGAAGCTGGCCCTGCTTTTCTGTGTTTTCTTACACGGTGTAATTACGCTGGTAGTCCTTCCTCTTCCACTTATAATGTAGTTTGCATAAATGGCCAGGGTTATTGAACTGGTTTTTAACCACCCCGTCCACATCAGAGGTGAAATTGCTAGTTTAAATTTCTCCTGAAATTAAAAAACACTTTCTCGCCATGGGAAATGCCCTCTTCTTTAGCACATGCTTCTTTTGTGGTATTTGCTGTGTAAATATCTAACCAATTCATTTGCCTCATGGAGATCCTTAGGAGGAATTTCAAATGCGAGTGGAAAATGCAATATGAGTAACAGTTTTTTGGGGTTTTCCCCTCCCCTCTTTGATTCAAGGGCTTTCATCTGGCTGCTTTCCCTGCTTTCCTCCTCTGTGTGGATTCTTGCTGTGCAGGTTGGTGGGAGCCATTGAGCACCAGTGTGGAAAAATGTGCTCGTCTTTGGAGTGGTGTTTTCTGTGCTGCTCCAGGAGCTATTCTGGTCTACCTACGACAGATTTGGAAGTAAGTCATATGGTATTTCTTATTCCCTGAAGATTGCTGAAGTGTGGAATCATATCGGACAAACAGCTAGCACTATTTAATATCAGCAGTTCTGCTGTGGCAACATAACTTCTCAAGAATTAGTTTCAATAATAGAAAATAAAATAATTGGAGTCTTAAAGGAAATAATAAAACTTACGAACTTCAATTTTAAAATTTGTTTCCATGATGCAAATTGGAGGTCAAAGACAACTAATAGGGTTTACTCTATTAGTTAACCTTTGAACTTTCTTCCATAGCAAGGGCCACCTTTTGGAAAGGAAGAGAATTTAAAACAAAGTTTATAATTAATTTATCAAGTTTTCCTATGAAATTTCCTGCTATTTTTTTTTTTTGAGACATACAGTGTCCTGAACCTTAAATATTAGTGAAGTCCCTTATTATTAGGTTTTAAGTAGAAGAAATTATCTTTTACCCTTTAAATTGTAGGGAGCAGTTTAGTTTATCTCTCTTTAATTATGTAACCCAGTGAGTTGAATATCTGTGTTTCAAAAGTTTAGTGCAACCAACTTAAAGACAAATTACAGCTACTCCTACAATGGCATATTTGTTCATGTTTTCTCCTTGGATTACTGGCGTGCCTTTTCCTTCAGGGTATCCATAGAAAATTTTAGAATGGAAAGATACATGTCTTTATTTTACTGATTTTCATTAGCAGAAGTGTTTGCTGTTTCACTCCCATGACTGTGTCTGTAGCTGAGATTGGAAAAGTCATAATTTCAAATGGGAGTTTGTGGACTTCCACTGTGTTTGTATTTGTGATTGCTGGAACAAATGACAATTTTTATTAATTATATCCCTTGTATTTGCAAGTGAAGTTCTTAAAAAAACCCACGTTTTGAAAATTGTACAGGTTTGTGTAAAAAGTTAAAGTGAGCTCTGCAGGTGTTCTCAAAAGACTGGTTACAGGAGTCCCATTTCTACTGTGTCAGCCAAAACCTTTCTTGCAGGAAGAAATTTCAGCTTGGGCTGAAATCAGTTTTGAAAGAGGAAGGGCAGTCTGTTCAAATACATCTTTCTGTGCTCTGCTGAAGGTAAAGCAGGTATCTGTGTGGTGAAGTCATTCATAGAAAGAGAGAAATAATTTGATCTGGGCCAGCTGCACTTGTTCAAGTTAGTGGATG